TGTGGATTATTCACACCCCAGAGCACTGTAAGTTATATTGAAGGAAACAGGAGTGTAGACAAGAGTTAAGTATCTATGCCAGTGGTCACCAATCAGTAGATCAGGATCTATGGGTAGATCTTGGAGCCTCTGACAGATGATCCTAACTGGTTTGACTGGGAGGCTATCAAGTGCTGGCACTTCAGCTGCCCCACCGCCCTACTGCTCCTATCCAGAGCTTCAGAGCTGCCCCCTGAGAGCCTCCTGCTTGTTGCTCAGGGTGGGGGAGACAGAGCCAGGGGGGTGCTGTTGTCACTCTGTCCACCTCTTCTGTACCCCATCTTCACAGTGAAGAGGGCTGGGCCTTGGCAAAGGGGTGGAGCAAGGCCTTGGAGAAGGAGTTGACAGGTATATTTGGGTTTTGAGGTTGATCCTGAACTGACTTAAAATAAAAAAGTGGTCTTGTGCTTAAAAAAGTTGGAGACCACTGGTGTAGATCCAGCCCTAGCTAATGTCATTCAGCGGGCTGATGTCAATGTGCTGGCAAAACTCCTTCTAATGGCCTACACTGCATCTCCTCTAGGGGGCTCTGGCAGGCTAGTTATGCTGCTCTACTATGCCTGCAAAATATTCACCACAGAGATAAGCCCAATGCCTGTATATGTATAAGAGAAGCAACAGAGAGCACACAGGAAGTGAGAGACTTAGCAGACGTGAGCATGGTGTAGGACCTTGAGAGAAGCTTAAAGAGGCTTGATGACTTGTGGGCCTCGTGCTACTGAGGAGGCTTGGGGCTGTGAGCAAAGAAATGATCTCCTATTGTTTGCTTCCTCCAGTGTTCAGGGAAACAGGACTTAGTACGAACTTTGATAACAAACAGAATAGCACCAAAGAAAAACCCTGACTCCGTCTTCAATTTTTCCTCCTAACTGGGGCAACTCACAATACCAAAAATTTGGCTAACTGTTTGTATCAAAAGAAATAACAATTAACTACTACTGTTAATAAATATTAAATTAATATGAGTCACCATTAAAATACTGATATTAATCACTAGCATTTATTTCTCAATATTAAATAATATTGATCATCATTAACACTACATTTCTAGTAATTACTAATATTTAAAATTTACTACATCAATATTACCCAAGACCAGATTAAGAAAGGGGCTTAGGGGCTGCAGCAATTAAAACTCCTGTGATCTGGGCCAAACCTTCCTGGTGAGAGTGGGAAAGGCAGCTCCACAAAACCTTCCCCACCCAGGGCTGGAGCTGTGAGGGCTGGGAAGCTCTGTTCTTGTGCTGCCCTTGCCTGGAGGCTCTGCCCCCATAGCTCCCATTGGCTGGGAATCATGGACGATAAGAGCTGCATGGGGCAGTGCCAATAGGTGAGAATGGAACAGCACAGAGCCACATGTCTTTACCGCCACCAAACAGGAGCTTCCCCGAGGTACGCGCCTCGCACCCCAATCCCCTGCCCCAGCACTGAGACCCCTCCTGCCGCCTAAGTCTCTAAGGGTATGTCTACACTACAAAGTTAATTCGAACTAACAGCCATCAGTTCGAATTCACTTTAATAGCGGCTACACATGCAAACCGCTAGTTCGAATCTAAATCAAACTAGCGGAGCGCTTAATTCGAATTAGGTAAACCTCATTCTACGAGGACTAACGCCTAGTTTGAATTAAGTAGTTCGAATTAAGGGCTGTGTAGCCACTTAATTCGAACTAGTGGGAGGCTAGCCCTTCCCAGCTTGCCCTGGTGGCCATTCTGGGCCAAACCAGGAAAACTTTTCTGCCCCCCTCCCGGTCCCAGAGCCCTTAACAACCCTGCACCTGGCACAGCATGAGCCAGCCACCCGCTGCCACCCAGCCCTCCGCCTCTTCCCAGGACCAGGCTGGCGACTCCCAGGACCTGCCCGGGGCCACAAGAGGCGGGCGCCTGCCTGGTCTAGTGAGGTGATCATGGACCTCATCGAGGGTTTGGGGGGGGGC